GACCTGTTACTATGTCCAGATGCACACAAATAAACCCGAAAAAACAATATCACTGACCAACCCCCGCACAGAGGGGGAAAGTGTGAATAAGCTGGAACCAAAGCATAACAAAATTTGGTTCACTATATAGTATTCATTATATATTGTATTGTATACCCAGTTACTGTGAATATCTCAGATGTGTAGGCCTTGACTTCACATAGCCATTTCTGTGACCAATCACAAGCTAATCACTCAGCTATTTCAATGCTAAATTCGCCTAGTTATGTCAATGCTAAATTCTCCTGTTTGATTTGTACTAGGTGCCTCGGTGAATGTATATGCTCTGACTTTAACATAGCTATTTCTGTGACCAGTTACAAGCTAATCACTCAGCTATTTCAATGCTAAATTCTATGCTAATTCCTTTGTCAAGGGGTGCCTCTGCGGATGTGTATACTTTAACTTAGCTATTTCAATGCTAAATTCTATGCTAATTCCTTTGTCAAGGCGCTTTGTTTCTTCTCTCACAGCTTAAAGGTCATGATCTCAGCGTGGCTTTCTCACTCCAGCGCTGTCCTCCAGACAGTCTCGTCCCCTTCACCTGATGAAGGCCGCTTGTGTTGTGGCCAAAACGTCGTGAGAATATTATTGTGTAATTTTATTTGATCAATTTATTATTTTATTCTCATTCTACGTGACTTTACCGAAATAACCAAAGAAGATGAATCCTTGCAGTCACGAAAGCTTTAAATCGAAATAAAATTTGGTATCGTTAATAAAAACTGCGTAACAAAAAAGTGAATATTTATTTAGTCCCTGCGTAGTAAGTGTTACTCTCTATATGCTTATGCCTCAAAAGTACAAAAAAGCTATAATTCCCCTCAAACTTAGCTTTTGTGTCAAGGACATATTTAGAAATGTAGCTATTTTCAATGATAATACGTGGTGTGCATTTGTGTCATTCCCTCACATAAAGGCCTGGTCACAAAAGCAAAGTTTGTGGGGAGTAATAAGACATTTTCCATAAATAATAGGCTTCACCAATTTAAAAATAACACTTACTACCCAGGGGGGAAAAAAAACCGCGTTACATTGTGCATATGTACGATCATCAAACATTGCTCAACCTCTATCATCTGATCTAATAATTAAAGAGTAATACAAATTAGTAAAGAGTAATATCTATTTTTTTGATTTAAAGCTTTCGTGACTGCAGTAATTCATATTCTTAGCTCTTTCGGTAAAGTCACGTCGAAGGGAAACAATAAAATAATAAAATATATATGATACAAAAATTCTCACGACGTTTCGACCATAACACAAACGGTCATCATCAGGTGTGAAAAACCAACGGCAACAAACATTTGAAAGAAGTGGCGGTTCGCATCGCATTTATTTATATATTTTTTAAAGGTTTATTTAGTTATTTAGAAAAAAAAACGTTAGCGCCACGCGCAGCGATTTGACAGTTGTTTAGAAGGACGAGTCCATCTATGTTCTTAGCTCTTTCAGTAAGTCACGTTGAAGGGAAACAATAAAATATATAATAAAAATTCTCACGACGTTTCGACCATAACACAAACGGTCGTCATCAGGTGTGTCGGTTTGCGTAAATTTATTTATTTTTAAACGGTGTATTTATTTATTTATAAAAAAAACGTCAGCGCCACGCGCAGCGATTTGTCAGTTTATTTAGAAGGACTAGTCCATCTATGTTCTGAAAAGAGGAGGGAGGAGACGAAAAATTAATGCATGCTGTCTGAAAGCCATCGTAAGCGTGAACAATCATTTAAGACCCGAAATGGTTAATCAAATCTTTCCAATGATTGCTAAGCCAGAATCCATCTTCTCGGTTGAAATTGTCTCTGTGCTTGTATATGTGGATAGCCTCATGAACGAATCTCTCGTGGTAGCCAGATGGCTTACAAATCAACCTCTGTCTTGGAGAAGTCAATGTCCTGTGAGCCTACTGAATTATAACCAGTGATCTTCCACGGCCGAGGTGTTGGTCCTACCGTGTTTTAGGGTCTGCTTTGTGTTCACGAATAGTATATTTATGTTTTAACGGAGCTGTTAATATGCGCGACTCACGTGCGCGTTGCCAGGGGCAACCCTCGGTCAGCGTTTCGCGCATGCGCAAATGTGCTGTCGCGCGCTGGAGCGGTTAAAAAAATAAAGATAATTCGCACTAAATCGTTAATTAAACCACCTTAAAGTTTAAGGATAGGAAAACGAAATAGCCTATGCCAAGCAGGGGGCTTAGGGCGTGCCGCCCGGCAATTTTTTTTCTCCGCGAACCCCGCGGTTAGAGAGGCAAATCCCTCGCAAGCGAACGTCGTCGCTTCAAGACGATTCTAAAGGAATCTAAAACCTTCGATTCCTTGACGCGATTTAAAGAATCGATTCTTGCCGCGCTCGGATTTTATTTTTAACGGATTTTATTTTAAACGGATTTTATTTTAAATTAATGAGTTATCTTTTCATTTGCATGTTATGTTTTCCAGTTTTCAGACGTTTTTAAAATATATATTTCCCCGCTAGTAGCAGTATATATTTTGACTTTATTAGCACAAAGTAACTCACCTGACAGATTTGCCGTGACGAGGCCTAGTCCCGTTGCAAAGCCTCCGGCCTCGCCTAGATTGCCCGGCCGGCCGAGGCTGGGGCCTGGGCCGCTACACCCCCCCCCCCCCCCGCGCGCTACAATATTTCTATTTAATCGCTATAATTTTAGTATCTACCGAGCCTATAATAGTAAGTGCACACATTGGGGTGGAGGGGAGAGAAGAGGACGTGACACTTTGATGAATTTACCTCAGCGTCGCGTGTAAATTTTTTTGCATTTTTTATGAGAAATGGCGTCCACCCTGCGGCGACGGCGTCTGTGCGTTGCCAGGGGCAACAACTCGCGTCTGTGCGTTGCCAGGGGCAACAACTCGCGTCTGTGCGTTGCCAGGGGAAACAACTCGCGTCTGTGCGTTGCCAGGGGCAACAACTCGCGTCTGTGCGTTGCCAGGGGCAACAACTCGTTTCGGCGTTTCGCGCATGCGCAGCAGCGAGCCGGTCGGCAAAAGTAAATAAATAAGTAAAGAGGAATCGCACTAAAACGTCAATTAAACCACTTTAAAGGTGACGGACGGCAAAACGGAACAGCCTATGCCGAGCGGGGGGTCCGGGGCGTGCCGCCCGGCAAATTTTTTTCTACGGGAACCCCGCGGTCCAAGAGCCAAATCCCCGCAAGCGAGCGTACGCAGACGGACGGACAGACAGACGGACGGACAGACAAACAAAAAATGAGTTTTATAGGTTAGATTATTATAGATGTGGAGGAGAGAAACTGGAGGAGCGGGAGAAAAATCCACTCAGCGACCACGGGGAGAGAGAGACACAGACTCCAAATATACAGCAACAGCAGCAGGCATCGTCAGGGTCGGGGATCGAACCCACGACCTCCTGTAGACCAGGAGAGGTAATGAACATCTCATAGGCACCGTGATGATGAGAGACACAGACCTCCTGTATACCAGGAGAGGTAGTTAACATCTCATAGCCACTGCGACTCCGGTGGGCGTTACCATCACCCTGCTGCGTGATAGATTCAGTAGCAGCAGCAGTAGCAGCAGCAGTAGTAGTAGCAGCTGTAGTAGTAGCTGGAGTAGTAGTAGCTGTAGTAGAAGTAGCTGTAGTAGTAGTAGCTGTAGTAGTAGTAGGTGTAGTAGTAGTAGCATAAGCAGTCGTAGCTGTAGTCGTAGCAGCTGTAGTAGTAGCTGTAGTAGTATTAGTAGCTGTAGTCGTAGTAGCTGTAGTAGTAGCTGTAGTAGTAGCTGTAGTCGTAGTAGCTGTAGTAGTAGAAGCAGTCGTAGCTGTAGTCGTAGTAGCAGTAGTAGTAGCTGTAGTAGTAGTAGCTGTAGTAGTAATAGAAGCAGTCGTAGCTGTAGTCGTAGTAGCAGTAGTCGTAGCTGTAGTAGTAGTAGTAGAAGCAGTCGTAACTGTAGTCGTAGTAGCTGTAGTAGTAGCTGTATTAGTAGCTGTAGTAGTAGTAGTAGCTGTAGTAGTAGTAGCTGTAGTAGTAGCTGCAGTAGTAGTAGTAGCTGTAGTAGTAGCTGCAGTAGCTGTAGTAGTAGCTGTAGTAGTAGCTGTAGTAGTAGTAGTATCTGTAGTAGTAGCTGCAGTAGCTGTAGTAGTAGTATCTGTAGTAGTAGCTGTAGTAGTAGTAGCTGTAGTCGTAGTAGCTGTAGTAGTAGCTGTAGTAGTAGTAGCTGTAGTCGTAGTAGCTGTAGTAGTAGAAGCAGTCGTAGCTGTAGTCGTAGTAGCAGTAGTAGTAGCTGTAGTAGTAGCTGTAGTAGTAGTTGTAGCAGCTGTAGTAGTAGCTGTAGTAGTAGCTGCAGTAGCTGTAGTAGTATCTGTAGTAGTAGCTGTAGTAGTAGTAGTAGCTGTAGTAGTAGCTGCAGTAGCTGTAGTAGTAGTATCTGTAGTAGTAGCTGTAGTGGTAGCTGTAGTAGTAGTATCTGTAGTAGTGGTAGTAGTATCTGTAGTAGCAGCGGTAGTAGTATCTGTAGTAGTAGTATCTGTAGTAGTGGTAGTAGTAGTAGCTGTAGTAGCATCTGTAGTAGTAGCTGTAGTAGTAGTAGCTGTAGTAGTACCTGTAGTAGTAGGTGTAGTAGTAGCTGTAGTAGCTGTAGTAGTAGTATCTGTAGTAGTAGCTGTAGTAGTAGCTGTAGTAATGGTAGTAGTAGCAGCGGTAGTAGTATCTGTAGTATTATCTGTAATAGTAGTAGCAGCGGTAGTAGTATATGTAGTAGTATCTGTAGTAGTGGTAGTAGTAGTAGCTGTAGTAGTAGCTGTAGTAGTAGCTGTAGTAGTAGCTGTAATAGTAGTAGCAGCAGTAGTAGCAGCTGTAGTAGTAGTAGCTGTAGTAGTAGCTGCAGTAGTCAAAACCCAGCCCCCTCACCTGCCCTGCCCCTCACCTGCCCTGCCCCCTCACCTGCCCAGCCCCCTCACCTGCCCTGCCCCCTCACCTGCCCAGGCTGCATGGCCGCTCCCACGTGGCTGAGGAGCAGCATCATCATCATCGTCGTCATCATCAGCAGGGTCGGCCTCTTCATTATCATCGTCATCATCAGCGGTGGCACTGCCCCCCTGGTAGGGGCAGCAGGGGCAGCAGTGGTAGTGCCCTCACAACACCACCAACAACACCAACAACAACAACACCAACAACAACACCACCAACACCAAAAACAACAACACCAACAACAACCACCACCAACAAGAACACCACCACCAACAAACCACCAACAAGAAACACCACCAACACCACCACCAACACCACCAACAACACCAACAACACCAACACCAACAACACACCACTAACAACAACACCACTAACAACAACACCACCACCAACATCACCACCACCAACAGCACCACCAACAGCACCACCACCACCAACAACACCAACACCACCAACAACACCACCACCACCAACAACACCACCAACAACACCACCAACAACACTACCACCACACCACCAACACCACCACCAACACCACCAACAACACCAGCAACACACCAACAACACCACCAACAACACACAACAACAACAACACCACCAACACCACACCACAACAACAACACCACCAACAACACACCACCAACAACACCAACAACACCACCACTACAACAACACCAACAACACAACACCAACAACACCACCACTAAACAACACCACCACCAACAACACCACCACCAACAACACCACCAACAACACCACCAACAACAACACCACCACCAACAACACACCACCAACAACCCACCACCAACAACAACACCAACAACAACACCACCACTAACAACAACACCACTAACAACACCACCAACAACACCAACAACACCAACAACACCACCAACAACACCACAACAACAACAACACACCAACAACACCAACACCACCAGCAACACCACCACCAACACCACCACCAACAACACTACCACCAACAACACCACCAACACCACCACCAACAACACCAACAACACCAACACCAACAACACCAACAACACCACCAACACCACCAACACCACCACCAACAACACCACCAACAACACCATCACCACCATCAACACCACCACACCAACAACACCACCAACACACCACCCCAATACCACCAACACAACAACACCAACAACACCACCACCACCAACACCAACAACACCACCACCCCAACAACAACACCAACACCACCAACAACACCACCAACAACAACACCACCAACATCACCACCAACAAAATCACCACCAACAACACCACCAACACCAACACCACCACCAACAACGCCACCAACAACACCACCACCAACAACAACACCAACACCACCACCAACAATACCACCACTAACAACACCACCACCAAAAACAACACCACCGCCAACAACACCATCACCACCAACAACAACGACCAACAACAACACCACCACGACCACCAACATCACCACCACCAACAACAACAACAACACCACAACCAACCACACCACCAACAAAAACAACAACACCACCACAACACCACCAACAACACCACCACCAACTACACCAACAACAACACCACCAACAACACCAATACCACCACCAACAACAACACACCAACACCACCAACACAACCCACCAACAAGACCACCACCAACAAGACCACCAACAACAACACCACCACCAACAACACACCAACAACATCACCACCAACACCACCACCACCAACACCACCAACACACCAACACCACACAACACCACCACACCACCACCACCAACAACAACACCACCAACAACACCAACAACACCACCACTAACAACAACACCACCAACAACAACACCACCAACAACAACACCACCAACAAAAACACCACCAACACCACCAACTACACCAACACCACCAACAACAACACCACCAACAAGACCATCACCACCAACACCACCAACAACAACACCACCAACAACACCAACAACACCACCACCACCAACAACACCACCACCAACACCACCACCAACACCATCACCAACAACAACACCACCACCAACACCACCAACAACACCAACACCACCACCAACAACACCACCACAAACAACACCACCAACAACCACAACACCACCAACAACACCACCAACACCACCACCAACAACAACACCACCAACGACAACACCACCACCAACAACACCACCAACAACAACAACACCACACCAACAACAACACCACCAACAACACCACCACCACCAAAAACAACACCACCACCAACACCACCAACAACAACACCACCAACAACATCACCAACAACACCACCAACAACAACACCACCAACAACAACACCACCAACACCACCAACAACACCAACAACACCAACAACAACAACACCACCAACCACAACACCACCACCAACAACACCACCAACACCACCCCACCAACAACACCACCAACAACACCACCACCAAAAACAACACCACACCACCAACACCACCCACCCTCACCAACACCAACACCACCAACAACAACACCAACCAACACCACCACCAACAACAACAACACCACCACCAACACCACCAACACCACCACCAACAACACCACCACCAACACCACCACCAAACTACACCACCACCAACTACACCAACAACAACACCACCAACAACACCATCACCACCACCAACACCACCACCACCAACACCACCACCAACACCACCACCAACACCAACAACACCACCACAACACCACCAACAACAACACCACCAACAACCACAACACCCCCAACCACACCAAACCACACCACCCACACCACCACCAACAACACCACCACCAACAACACCACCAACAACACACACAACAACACCAACAACAACACCAACACCACCATCAACACACCACCACAACACCACCCCACCAACACCACCACCAAAATCAACACCACCACCAACACCACCAATAACAACACACCAACAACATCACCAACAACACCACCAACAACAACACCACCACCAACAACACCACCAACACCACCACCAACAACAACACCACCAACAACACCACCATTACCAACAACACCAACAACAACACCACCACAACAATATCACCACTAACACAACACCACCAACACAACACCACCACCAACAACAACACCAACAACAACAACACCACCAACAAAAACACCACCACCACCAACACCACCACCAACAAACACCACCACCAACTACACCACCAACAACTACACCAACAACAACACCACCAACAACACCACCACCACCAACACCATCACAAACACCACCACCACCACCAACAACAACAACAGAAACACCAACAGCAACACCAACAGAACCACCACCACCATCACCACCACCATCACCACCACCACCACCACCACCACCAACACCACCACCACAACAACAACAACACCACCAACAACACCACCACCAACACCACCAACACCAACAACACCAACACCACCACCAACAACACCAACAACAACACCACCGCCAACACCACCAACAACACCACCACCACACCACCAACAACAACCCACCAACACCACCACCAACAACAACAACACCACCAACAACAACACCACCACCACAACACCACCACCAACAACACCACCACCAACAACACCACCAACAACACCACCACCACCAACAACAACATCAGCACCAACAACACCACCCCAACACCACCAACAACAACACCACCACACCACCACCAACAACACCACCACCACCAACAACACCACCTCCACCACCACCACCAACACCACAACCAACAAAACCACGACCAACAACACCAACAACACCACCGCCAACACCACCAACAACAACACCACCAACAACACCACCAACAGCAACACCACCAACAACACCACCACCAACACCAACCACCAACAACAACACCACCAACACACCACCACAACACAACCACCACCACCACAACAACACCACCACCAACAACACCACCACCAACAACACCAACACCACCAACAACAACAACACCACCACACAACACCACCACCAACAACACCACCACCAACAACAACACCACCAACAACACACCACCACCAACAACAACAACCACCAACAACACCACCATTACCAACAACACCAACAACAACACCACCAACAACACCACCACTAACAACAACACCACCAACAACACCACCACCACCAACAACAACACCACCAACAACAACACACCAACAACAACACCACCAACAAAAACCACCACCACAACACCAACAACACCACCACCAACTACACCACCACCAACTACACCAACAACAACACCACCACCATCACCACCATCACCACCACCAACACCATCACCACCAACACCACCACCACCAACACCACCACCACCACCAACACCACCACCACCAACAACAACACCACCACCAACAACAACACACCACCACAACACCACCACCAACACCACCAACACCAACACCACCACCAACAACACCACCACCAACAACACCACCGCCAACACCACCAACAACACCACCACCAACAACACCACCAACAACACCACCAACACAACACCCCAACAACAACACCACCAACAACACCACCACCAACAACACCACCACCAACAACACACAACAACAACAACACCACCACCAACAACACCACAACAACACCACCGCCAACCACCAATAACAACACCACCAACAACACCACCACCAACAACAACACCACCACCAACAACCACCACCACCAACAACCACCACCACCACACCACCACCACCACCACCAACAACAACACCACCAACAACACCACCACCAACACCACCACCAACAACACCACACCACCAACACCACCACCAACACCACCAACAACAACAACCACCAACACCACCACCAACAACACCACCACCACCAACAACACCACCACCAACAACACCACCAACACCACCAACAACACCACCACCAACAACACCACCACCACCAACACCACCAACAACACACCACCATCACCAACACCACCACCAACAACACCACCAACAACAACACCACCACCACCACAACAACACCACCACCACCAACAACAACACCACCACCAACAACAACACCAACACCACCAACACACCACCACCAACAACAACACACCACCACCAACAACACCA